GGGGGGGGGGGGGGCAGGGAGGAGAGGTTGGAAATATAGGGATTTCAATACCCTGCCTCTGAAGATGACCAGATGCTTCTGAAAGTAATGTTTAATGATCTGCCCACAAGAAGTTTCTTCTTAATGCCCCTCAGTTACAGGTTGCTTTATGCCCCAAAACATGAGGATTTATATCACTTCCAAATGGACTGAAAGAACAGCCTTCTTCTTCAAAAAGCAGCATTTTTTATAGATGCAATAAAGTGAATTGATTTGTTCTATTACATTTTGTTAAGACTAACAGCCCCACTGTGTCACCATGCACACAAATTCCTACTGTGGCTCTGCGGACAGTGTTACTCACTGCTAAGAAGGACACTGGTTGCATGGATGATTTGGGGAGTCTCTCTCCAGGCAAGCAGTCAGGGATAGAGGGCCAAAGGCAGGGATGGTGTAAGTGCCACAGTAAGATTTCAGTTGCTTAACTCAGCTGAATTGGGGACCCAGCCCCTTAGCTTCCTGGCCTGCATTGCACTTCGCATTACCTGTTTGGCAGCTTAGGGAATGGATCTGCAGTCTCAGAAAGGGTCTTGTCCCTTGCCGACAGGGAGAGTAATATAGTATAACAACACCCTCCGTTTATAGTGACATTTAATGTTGGCTCAAAAGCCCTTTTCAGAGTTGGGTACTAATAACACCACAGAAGAAACAGAGGCACGGAGACTCACCCAAGGTCATTCAACAAGTCAGTATATCCAGGCAGAGAATCCAGTTCTAACTCATCTGCTACCTGGTAGACATTGTCACCTTCCAAGGTTTGCCACTTCATGCACTGCTGAAGCATGGGGTAGGGAGACACTTACTCAGATACACAGGGGAAAGACAAAAAACTCAGGGTCACCTTTACTTGGTGAATATACTGGAGGAGGACCAGAGGCAGTGAGAACTTTACTATCGACAACTGGGATACAGAGAGTGCCCATGTGTCCAATGCATCATCTGCCTAACATTCATCCTTGGAAGGAATCCAATCAACTCCTTTCATTTGAAATAGGACGGGGGGCATACTCTTTGGTTCTCATACAAGGCAAGGCTCCATTTGAAGCTGAGGGGAATGCGGTATGTGGAAGAATTATTATTCAGTCCAAGATGAGGGAGAGATGTTGGCCCATTGAAGACAATATGAAAATATCCTCTACTCCTTACTGAAAGTATTAGGCAGAGATGCAGAGACGGGTTAACCTCCTATTTCTCTCACTACATTATGGACTATGACTTCTCCATAGTTCAGGCTGATTCTAGTGTTTTTTGCTTGAACGTCAATTTGTTAATACTAACTGCCTCCAACTTCATAAAAACTAAAGCAATTTCCATGATGTGTCATAGATTTCTCACGCCAAGGCAGAGATTTCAGGAAAAGCTAGACATAAATCCAACAAGCTATTCTGGGAAGATTCAAAACATAAGCAGCGAAATCCTGTTTCTGTCAAATCTGGTGCCAAAACTTCCGTGAACTTTAACAGGTCCAACATTTCACCAACATACTTGGAAAATTTCCTAATACTTTTTTTTATTGCTCATATTATTTCAAGAGCCACCATGTAAAGGAGTTCTGACCTGGAGAAGATTTAGAGCACCTTTGACTACTTGCAGCAGGTTGGCTTGTCATGCTTCAGTATTTGGGGGCATAAGTGCCGTTTTAACAGAGTATCCTGATTTGGGGCTGCTTTTAATCGCAGAATTCTATTAAGGGTTAAGTCAGTGATTCTCAGCCAGGGGTCCATGGCCTTGAGATCCCTTCAAGGATGCCACAGGATGTCATGCAATATTAGCACTATTAGGTGTGCAAATATGATTCACAATATATACCCAGAGATTTCAAATAGGAATCCATACCACTAAAACATTCTGACCTGCTGTGGGCTTCCTGAGTTCTTTGCAATAAAAAGACAAATATTTTTCTGTAATCAAAAAACAAGTGAAAACTAGGAGCTGGCATTTTCTGAGGGGTGTCTTGAGTCTAAGAAAGGATGCATTCTAAGCCTTAAATGGTTAAGAACCACTGTATTTTAAGGGCTTCTCCTTAAATATACAGGTTTCCCTTGCCAACTGCTGGGGTTAGTAAGTTCCTGAAAGTTCCTATGGTTGGCAAGACAAAAGGCTTACGCGAAAAATGGCAAATGGCATGCTGTTGTGCGGCCACGGAAAACAGTGGTTACTCAAAACTGTATACCGTGGTAGCCAAAATGGTATATAGAATATTAAGCGTGGATACTCAAAACTGTGGTTGGTGGGGAAAACCTGTATTGCAACATATTTACCATCCTAATTCCAGGTAACTTATCTTAAGAATATATGAGACATGTATAATCCCCATTGTAAATGGGTAAAATTTGACTCACTTGCACCACGGTTGATTTTGACCCTATGTATTTTTTCTCTTTGTATACAGTACACAATATACTATGCAGAAAGCTGTAAGAGGTAGGTAGTAAACTAGTACTAGAAAAAATAAACTTACAGAAATGTATGTAATAGAGACAGGGAGGAGATGGAGTTACTACAGTACGTTGATGTAACAGGCAGTAATGCATTGCATCCATTTTGTTCATAGGGGAGGTGTGAGAAAAGTGTCTTAGGAAATCTTGTCTAATATCCTGAAAATTCTACTTCCCTTTCCACCATTTCCAGAAAGTATATTTATTCACAATTTCTATTCAAGATATATTGGTGAAAAAAATATTAATAAAGGGCTAATTAACTGTCATAGATTCATAGACGGTAGGGCTGGAAGGGATCTCGGAAGATCATCAAGTCCAGCCCCTGCCCCGGGGCAGGGAAGTCAGCAGGGTCATAAGATCCCAGCAAGATAAACATCCAAATGTCTCTTGAAGGCGTTCAAAGTAGGTGCTTGAACCACCTCTGGCGGCAGGCTGTTCCAGACCTTGGGGGCTCAGACAGTAAAGAAGTTTTTCCTTATGTCCAGCCTGAAATGGTCATGGAGGAGTGACCATTTGACCTTGTCACCCTTTGGGGCACTCTGGTGAACAGGTGTTCCCCCAGATCCTGGTGAGCACCCCTGATAAACTTATAGGTGGCCACCAGATCACCCCTGAGCCTGCGCTTTTCCAGGCTGAAGAGTCCCATGATGCTCAGCCTGTCATCGTAAGGTCTGTTTTCCTGACCTCTGATCATGCGCGTGGCTCCTCTCTGGACTCTCTCAAGCTTCTCCACATCCTTTTTGAATTGTGGAGCCCAAAACTGGACACAGCACTCCAGCTGCGGCCTCACCAAGGCCGAGTACAATGGGAGTGTCATAGGTTGTGAGAGGCAAACAGGTCGATGGGTTGCATTTTGCCATGGCTGACAGCCTTAACACCTCCTGACGTACCAGAAACCATGTGACATGTACTAACATTTTTGAACACACATTAACAGTTAATTTAGGGATAAGCATCTGTGCAGGATGCTGTACTAAGTGACCTCTGAGATCCCTTCCTATCCTCTGATTCTATGATTACTTGTTTATTAACCCTGTATAAACTACCTCAGGGAGTACGACTGTAATTAAGGTACGATTGGTTTCTTTTAGGAGCTTGGGATTTTAATGTGCTGAAGTTCCAAACAAAGAAGAGTTGTAACATAAAATGTAATAAAGATCCTGCAGAGATGAGTTTAAATGTTTCAATCAGCTAAATAAATCGTTTCTAGGGTCACCTAATAATGTAGCTATTAAAAGTGAAATGGCAAAACCACTTCTACGAACACTGTTGCTGTTTTAGTATCTCCAGCCAAGGGTACCAGCAGCATCTTCTCGCTAGGAGATGATATTTTATCTTGCTGGCTTGGACACAATGGAGCCCTCTAGATGTGGCCTCATCAGTGTAGGAATGGGGGCTTCCTGCCGTGTGTCATGAGATCACATTTGTTTGCTCGCTCTTATGCTCAGACGTGGGCCTTCTGTGGTAAGGCTGAGTGAGGCGCAGTGGTAACAGTGTTGGGGAAGATTATAGTGCTGCTGTATAAAGTACTGTGTTTGTATAACGCTGTGCCATCTAGGCAGCTTTCCTCCAGAAAGTCCATTTTGAATCATCCTCCCTGATCGTGCTTAATAATGCACAGTGCAGAGTAACAATGGTACAAGTGGTCAGTAAGATGATCTCCTCCAGGCCACACATGGGGAGCTGGTAAGATGCCCCATCTTAAAAAAATGCCCAGTTTACACCTCCCCCCCACCCCACACACAATATTTAGCTTGTACTAGCACATTTCATGAGCAGCGCTTTACTGAGGAACTTTGAATCCTGGCCCCCATTTTACAGAGGGGAAACCTAAGGCACAGAGAAGTGCTATGACTTGCCTAGGGTCACCATGCAGGCCAGACGACTGCACCAGGAATAAAACCCAGGTTCCTCTGAGTTTCTACCAGGTTCCTCAGAGCTTCTACCTACCAGGAAGCTTCTTCTATTCCTTAATTCCCTGGGTGACCAAAAGCACAGGCTGGAGAGGCAGAGTCGTCACAGCTAGAGAAGGCTATCAAGTGCGAATGACAGCTACAGCAAACTATCACAAGAAAGATGCATTTTGGGTCTCCTCTGTGCCAAACACCCTGCAAGTTACCTCCGCTTTAGCACCGACACACAGTCCCTCTTCAGCGGCCCAAGCTGCAGGTGGGCATCTACGCTTTCAAGGAAAAAGGCTGGTTTGAGGTTATATGCGAACAGGGATGGGAACTGGTGATTGATCTTGTTTTGGAATGGGTCAAACATGCCCTTCTTAAAGCGGGAGACCTTGAGCTGCTGGAGACACGTCATCTTGGAATCCTTGACCCCAAAGAACGTCAGGGCCTTCTCGGAGTATTCTAGGTACACCCCGATGGTGTGGAAGAACGGCTGCTGGATGACAGATTCGAAGCCACCGAACCAGGCCACGTAGTTCTGTCCGTTCCACTGTAGGCAGCAGGACTTCTCGTTCCTCCCGAGGCGACCTCTGTCATAGGACTCCCGCGAGTTGAAGTCATCGGTAATGACCCCGATGCTCACCCAGCCATCGATGATTTCCACCTCCCAGTAGTAGTTGCCCCGGTTCATCACGTTTTCGCCCAGCACCTGCTCGCAGTTGATGAATCTGGTTGAGCTCTCAGGGTAGGCAATGGGATTGAGCACGCGTTTGGCCCCTTTGGTTCCAAAGAGCTGGATGAACTTGTCTGCAGTGTCACTGTCCAAATCAATGATGAAGGCAACTGGGTAGAAGGGGAGAAGGGAGAGAATCAGAGTGAGATCCTTCCTTGATTCCCAAGTGATGGGTTGCAGTGCTACCACTTCTATTTTTTTGCTAGTGCTCTCTGGTTCTTTCCCATCATCAGAACATCGAAGCCTATTCCTATTATAAAATGATTCCTCCCCACACAATCATTTCCATCCTTTGACCCCAGGACAAATAATCTCCATTCAGCCACTGGCCCAAGAGACAGCCTGACCACTGCATGTTGCATCTGGGCTTAGAAAGACCGCAAGAGGGGAATTCCAGAGCAGAGAGCCCTGCTCTGAGAACTTCCTGCCACCCCCACCCCAGGAATTTAAGTCTGGACAGAGAAACAAAAAGTAATTGTGCTGATTGCATCCAACATACAATGCCTGACCTGGCAGTGTATTAAACAGATCAGACACAGAATGGCAGAATGATTATTACAGGGGCCAGCAGTACGTACTAAAGAGGGCTGCTTTCTGGCTAGCACAGAGTGGAGGTGACTTCTCAACTTAACATATGCATGGAACCATGCAAAGCTTTTAAATGCTACCAAAAAAAACAACAAAAAAAAGCCTAACACCAACCCTACTATACACCCCCTAAAACTGATACTAAACCCCTGAGAATGAGAATCTGACTAAGAGCTGTGTGTGGAAGTTGACTTCAAAGGGATTAACATATCCTTACTGCTGGCAGGAGCTGGTGACCGGCAGATACCATGCCTCAGACCACCAGTGACTGGAGCAGCAGGAATGCGAGATAAAGGTTGGAGCAGGGGACCTGGTCGATGGATATTCACAAAACAGGAGCTCAAGTGGAATATGGATTATAGTATATCTGCCTCCTCCGCCCCCCAGGAATAACACAAATCTCTGAAGCAAAAGGGATCCAGGTTGCTAAACAAATGGGAAGGAGTCAAAGAAAAGGGGATGGGAGTGTCTTTGCATTCCCAGTGGAGTGGGCCCAGCCTATTTTCACAAAGGGTCACCTTCTTCTGCACAGTGTGACTTGGAAGACCTTAATGCTACAAGCTCACCCTTGGATATGTAAGGCCAGGTCTGCTCAAAGGGGTGAGAAGTACAGGATGGAGTCAGGGGAAGAAAAAGGACATCAACATGTACATGTAGTAGAGCTGTAGCTCCATGCAACAGATGCTTCACTCCCCTCCCACACCTGCAAATTAGGGCTCTCACACCCTGTCTGAATAGAATCAGTCCCTCTTGTTTCGATGGAGTCTTTCCTCACCCTCTGACCTATGCAACCAATCTTTCTATGGCAGCTCACCCAGCACAACACAATACTCTGAGTGTCAGTAACAAGCTCTGAATAGGGCAACTTTTCAACCTCTTTAGTTAACATGGCCTTTCCCTGGACTCTTTTTCATGTCTGCCTTATTCAGAATTTTCTTTAGCCACTCAGTCTAGTCAACAAGCAAATCATTCATCTGCTGAAAGCGAACAAAAACAGATCACAGCAAAACATGGACTTACACTCTTTCTGACTACAAATAAAATAGTGGCAGGGGTTCTAATCCAGTTAAAGAGAGAATCAAATGAAACAATAATGGGAATAAAGTGGAAAATATTTTGCAAGCAACAGATTCTTGACCAGCTTTCCCAGGGCTGTTTTGGGAGCACCGCAGATAAGTCCGTTTTTGCAGGCGTTCGTTAAAAAGCAAACTTTAGCTACACACTGTTTATCACAGCCAAACAGCTCCAGATATTAGCAGTTGTGAGAACAGGAAGTTTACGTGCTGTCTGGCTTTCAGCACGCAGGGAAAACACAGCACTGGCCTTAGCAACAAAAGCCAAAGCAAAAGTCAATGTCTTACATTTCAGGAAATAGTCTCGTGTTTCTGAACAGGCTGGATTGCTCGGTTTATCTGAGAGTGGGGGCTCAGCAATTACTGCAAGGAGAAGAGAAGAAGGCTTCAGAAGGTTACATATACAGCAAAGGCAACGGAGCAGACAAGGCATCAGGAACTGATGCTGCTTTTGCTACTGCGGGTAGATGGCTTTCCAGGTGAGGTGCAATATTCAGTGTACCCCACAGGGAGACCTGCTTCAGGTTCGGGGTGCATTCCCCATGCCTGCCTGCGGTCTGGTATGTTTTTAACATATAAAGCAAAGAAGGGGAAAAAATGCCTGCAAGACACTACGATATGCATAAGGGGAGTCCCTTCAGACTGAGCAGACAGGGAGGCTCAGGACGAACAAACCAACCCTGTCCCAAAAGCCATGTAATGATGCTACGGTGAGGTGGTCAGAGCTGAGTAAGCCCAGCAGCGCCTGTCGGCTTGGCCTTAACAGCGACCAGCAGCCACACACAGGGACTCTGACAGGTCTACAGGAACAGCAGGGCTTTTAACCACCACCGGAAAACAGCCTGAGCCTCAAGTAGCTTCAACCTTTTAACCCCCTCAGGCTGGAGAGTGCAGAGAACAAAGCTCGCCTGTATGAAGAGGTTTGTCTGTGTTCACGAAAGACAAGTCCCCTTTCATAGGAGGCTGCCTTGGATGCACTGTCTTCACCGCAGGGCCCTGCCTAGCGATACGTGTTTGTTGCCTTTTGATTATCTAGTCGTCGCGGAAAACTCATAAAACCCATGAAAATGAGGTGCGAGACCAGACAGCCAAGGCAGAACTATTATTATGCAGTTGGACAGTAACCACACTGTACGCCTTCCAAGGCTGCTAGGGAGGGGGCCGGAGATCCCCCACGGCCATCCCCTTGGGGACCCTGGTTTCCCGCATGCATTTGCTATTTATAAAAGCTTGATGCTGAGTCCACAGAGCTTCTGTGCTTCTTGTACATGCTGGGGGCGGCTTGGAGCTGAATGGAGCTCAGAGGAGCTAGCATGTGCTGGGTCAGTACAAACCTTCTTGCATGTCGTGGAAGCCAGCTCCGTCAGCCCCTTTCCCCAGCAGCTGGTCCCACTGGCTCTTGCAGGCCGTCACGAGCAGCTCCTTCACGGCGCACACAACCTGGCTGGACTTAGTGAAGCTCAGCTCCTTCTGGAAGCTCGGACCTGGGGAATTATTTTCCTCGGCTGCTATTTTTAACGCCTGGAACTCCTGAGTCAAAAAGACAGGATTTCGAAAGATTTCAACAACCCTGGGCTGCGCGTTGTTCCACAACCACACCCTCCCCAAAATGCTAGGCAGCGGGCCGCTCCAGGACCTGGCATGCAGACACGCATGCAACAGGGAGGGGACTGCTTTTCTGGCCACGTGTTCCTGGCACCTTGTCTTAAATCAACGGCATCTCTGGAGCAAGAGCATCATATGGAACAGGATCTTTTCCCGCAGAGGTCCCTGCCCTCGGTTCCAGAGCTGGAAACAGGCCCCTCTGCAGAGGCTGCCCCCAAGCCAAGAGCCGCACCATGGTTAGACTAACGAATGGCATGTGCTCACAACAGCTGTCCTTCAGCATTCGCACAATGGCAAGAGGTGACTCAGTTCATGCGTGACCTATAAAATGGGGTCAAGCTTCCTAATTCAAGGCGATTGGAAAAGCCTGATCCCAGGCCCGCTGAGAGCCAATCAGGTCCAAAAAAATGCAACACAAAACAGGCCTGCGCTTTTGCTTGCAGCCTCTTCCCACAAGCTCCAGCACTTGTCCTCTCTGCTTCCTATTTCTGTTCACCTCAGACCTGATGATTGTCCCCTGAGGGTGCACAATCCTAGTGGCTTTGGCTATACATTGCCATACAGCAGAACCAAATCCCTTTTATGCCTGCAGTGTCACTCCCACTAGAGATCGCTAGCCTATTCTGCCCTTGGCCAGCTCCTGGTCCTTTGCTCTTCAGCATTGTATCCTGTTACATCAGAGCACTGGATAAAGACATCCCCAGGGACACCAGCCACCCAGTCCTTTTCTGCTCCAGCCACACCAGCCCTCAATACTGTCAACTTCATCCACTCCCACAACCCTTTCCCTCCGTTCTACAGAAAGTTGCTCTCTAGAGGCCCAATCCAAAGCCCACTGGAAGAGTCCATGGGAAACTTCCCATTGACTTCAGAAGCTTTGCACTGGACACTAATTCAGTGGGAGGCAGGCATGCCAGAAATTAAGTCCCATACCTTTCCTGAATGCCACTCAAATTCCTTTCCCCTACCCAATCCACTGCTCTGCCTTCTGCTCCCTTACCTGTGCTCCCTGCCTCGTCTGCTGTTCTGCTTTCTGCTCCTGCCCTACGTCACCATGCTGCTTGTCCCCTCTTTGATCTGCTACGTGCCACACACAGAGGATGCCAATGTTACAAGTTAGCCACCCCTGCTCTAGTTGAATAATGGATTAACTGACAGCTGTTAAGTTTGGGGGGAGAGCTTTAAAGAGTTGTGGTATCTCCCCAGCCCTCCCCATTCAATGTCTATGTGAACCAAGTCAGAGTGAGGAGATTAGGTCCCCAGGTTATGGAGATGTTTAACTCTTCCCTTTCCCTTGCTCCTCTCCTAACCTGGTTCCAACTCACCTGTAAGAAACAAAGGGCATCCGTGCTGGAAACTTGCTCCAGGTTCTGCTTGCATTGGGCTAGCTTGGCACGTCTCTCCTCCTTCTGTCGGAGGTACTCTTCAGCCTCAGACAACATGGATTGCTCGTCATCCTCAATGAAGGTAGCCACCTCTTTCTGGAAGGTCTCCAGAGCTCTGGTTGCCACAGCAAAGAGCTTGCTAACTATGTCCTTCTCCTTCAAGGCAGTGCTCTGGGAAGAATGGGATTTGCAACAGAATGGGATTTGCAACGTGTTTATAGATAGCCGTTTCCTTTTCTAGGGGTCCATTTCCATTCCTTTTCTATTTCATCTAGGGATCTCCATCCACGTTACAAGCAGCCCAGTTCACCGAGTTCTTGTCTGCACCAAGCTGTTCTGCACTATTACAAGCCGTCACTTGCTGAAGTGCAACATGCTACACTGGCCTAGCTTCAGGGGTGTCCAAAACACACCTCAATCAGCATGGGTAAGGTCTGAGCTACACAATACCTCTCACGTGACCAATGGGGAAATGGGGCCATACAGAGGTAAAGGTTCTCACTCAAGGCCAGCCAGTGAGTCAGCAGCAGAGGCAAGAACAGAACCCAATGGACCCCACCCTGCTCCTTTGTGAATCACAGAGTATCGTTGCATCTGTCATTTTAATCACCTTATCCCTCACTTCCCTGGCCCCTCCCACTTGGAAATGGCACATCAGTATTTTCTACTTTAGTTGGGTTTGCTGTCACAATGCAGATGCAGAGGATGCTAAAATCTATGTAGGGTGGTCCAGTGTCTTCCCAAACAGATCAGTAACCCAGAGTGCAGGAAACTGGGAAATAGTAAAGAGGAATGGGTAAAAGACAACTTGATCCTAGAGTGACTGCCCCACAGATAACTTAGGCATGTAGGGCTGGAATTGCGAACAACACTGCTCTGGGAACCACCCCTAACAGTAAACCTCCTGGGAGGGACATCTTTGCATCAACTAATGACTGGTGCCTTCATTCGCAGAGTGGCTTCTCTCCACTCCTATACAAGCACTGTCCAGGATTGGAGATCATGCATCATGTTAGGCCGCTCACTGTCAGATGGATACTGGGGCGTCACATGTTGAGGGTGATCATCACCACAGTTCCAAAGCACTTGAGCTCTTTTGATCTGGACATAAGGAAAAACTTCTTTACTGTCCAAGTCTCCAGAGTCTGGAGTGATGCAAGCACCTGCTCTAGATGCCTTTAAGAAATGCTTGGATGAAGTGATCTGACCCCTGCTAACCTCCTGCCCCTTGGGCAGTGGGCTGGACTCAGTGATTTCATGAGGTCCCTTCCAGCCCTAATATTCATGAAAAAACTACCTCTGGTACCAAGGAGTAGTGCTGTGTCCTGAAAACAACCTCTGACCTGCCTATTTCCAACAGCAGAGGGTGCTTGTAGGATGAATTCAGAGGGGAGGTGGACAGGAGCCGATCTTCCAAGCTCAGCTTTACCCCTGAGCCAAGGTCCTCTTACCTTGATGAGTTCCACAGTCTTCCTAGTCTGTGCAATGACGACTCCCAGCTCATCCAGCTGATTCTCTACATCGCTCAGGATTTTTGGTCGCTGGGCCTTTCAAGAGAAAGGAGGAAAACAGAACTAGTGACAGGTCCATTAGCTGTCACACCCGAGAGCATGTTTGGGACCCATGCCTTCCAAGAGAGATCGTCTGCAGAGATCCACAGGCATTCTCCAGATTTCAGCTTACAATTCTGTTTTCATTTTAACCCTTATTCCTCACCCTCCCTCTAAATTCTATAAATCAAAATCTACCAGGCTGAAAAATCGGGAGGATGCCTCTGAGGCTAAGGGAGAAGTTTCCTACGAAGTTTCAGACAAATTGAGTGGGAGGATTCTGAAGCAATGGCCTCCCCAAATCCTGCAGGAGCTTAGCCCTTTCTTGCTCACTCCTAACTCAAAAAGCAGCTATGCTGCATACATCTGTGGACTTGCTTCAGCCTGTGCTAGAGCCTGTCTATGGGACTGGGGCTCTCCTGGGACACAAGGAAGCTATCTGGGCTTCATTTTTGCAAAGATGTGTGGGAACTAACATTGTGGCATGGCAGTCTAAGCCTGGCATACCAAGGGGTTTGCCTGATTGGAAGGAGCCTTTTTACAGGCTAACAGGTAACCAGCTGCACTGTTCACACCTTATGCCCACTCCTAGTCACTGCTCAATAGCCAGTGAGGGCATTTTCACTGCCAAGAAGCACTCTGAACAAACACTGACTCACTGCTTGGAAAACACCAAGCATGTTCCATTGCACTCCTGTGTTCACTGGCTGAGAGAGAGGACCTCCCAGGCGCATCACCAGGGAGCTGGGAGGAGAGGGACACTTATAGAGGAGGTGAAACCAGATGACTCTGGAAATGGCAATAACTGGGTGGAGACTGCTGGAGTGGGCAGGGTAGCATGATGTTGCCGCAGTACAACTAATAATTCCAATTAAGGCCTCCCTACTGTAGCAAACCAAATCCCTGCCTCCCTAACAACTGTTACAAAAGCCAATTCTCTCCCTCTTGTGTCCAGGACAACAGCAGGAACAAAATTCACACTCTTGCGGGAGACTCTCCATTAAGCATGAGCAATACAATTAGTTCTGTGCCAACCACACTCAACATGCACCTCCTTCCCCTGTCAGACTAGAAGCAGCAGCAGAGTAGACAGGAGGAGAAAACAACAGATGGAAAGGCACAGGTAACTCTTTTACAGACGTCTCTTATTGCACCTCACCTACATTACCCATGTCCTCCTCCTCTAGGACTTGGTATTGGTGCCCCACCATGGGTGAAAAGGGATATATGGTGGGATCTGAAGGAAAGAAGGTCAAGGGACAGGAGAAACTGTAGAAGGGACAGAAGAAAGGCTGAAAGTGTTGCCCTGGCTTCTGGATCAGACAGGCTTGCTAAGACCTGCCAGAGAGGGTTGTCATTCAGCTTCCAGCTATCAAGAGTCCTACTGCCCCCATCTCACTTGCACCCAACCCCTACACCCTTAACAACCTTCCATTTAAACAACACCTGGAAATCAAATGCAAGACTTCTGTTAAATACAGAACAAGTGTTGCAGCCACACGTGTCATTCTTGATCGCTCCCAACCATCGTAGCATAAAGCCTCTTGTTGCTCCTTAAAATAGCATTATCTTCATTGCAAAACACATGCATCTGAGCATGTGAGTGTGCCACATCAGAAGCACCATCCTCTTTCTGCACTTCCTGCCATTCTAATGTTAGCTCTGTGCATCATGTTGTCAGGGCGATGCTCCGTTAAATGAATGGCAAAGAGGAAGTGAACTCTATGTTCCCTGCAATCAGAGGGCTGAAGCTTAGAGAAGGATGCTCTGCCTTGCTGGATAGGTGGAAGCAGCCTGGGTTTCTGCCATGTAACTGCAACCTCAGCTCCGTCTTTTGAGGGTTTGCATAACCACTGAACATATCGAAAGCAGCACAGAATGAGCACTTCAAGGAAAAAGCTAGCTGCCAACTAGACCACATCAACAGCGCTGTGTGCGCCAGCAGCCGAGAAAGCAAGGAAATCAGAACTTGGGAGGGATCTTATCTGGAGAGGCTGCAGAACCCTTTGGGAGGGAGAGGAAGGGTGGCCGACATGAACATGACAATGCTCCAGACTGTTTAAGGACATCTCGGCTGCTGGCTGCCACTTCTATGCCCATGAGCCAGCCCTGCCACTGCCCCCATCCTCCAGTGCACGGCGCTGTCTCTGACTAACCCTCTGGAGCTCTGGGCAGAGGCAAAAGCCACACCTTGGCAATATCAGGCCTCCTATCCCATGCTCTAAGGCCATTCACAGTGAGTAACTACATTAGCATCCAAGGGCCAGCAGCATCCAGTAGACAGCAACTCCAAGCAGCCTGCCTACACATGCTAGGTCCCGTGGGAAGTGTATAGTCTGCCTACAACTGACAGCTTCTTGGACTCTCCTTTTTTTAATGTTCTTTCCACTGCTGTTGGGTAACAAGCAATTAAGTCTCATGTAAACTAAACTGTGTTCTGAAGTGTGCTATGTGGTTACTTATAAATTAGACTTGCATAGGGAAAACACATGAGAACATGTACCATTAACGTGGTGGTTATGCTAAGCTGAATGGGATTCTCATAGTTACTTGGCATTCAGAGCAGGCACTAAGATCTAGGCTTGCATGAAACAGCTGCTGTTCTTTTGCAAAGCCCTTTGATACCGTATTGGGAATGCAGTTTTACTAATGGGCTGGACATTGGATTGATATGGCATCGATTGGATAGAGGTGATCTTAGCTTCTGGTAGGGGGCTGGACTAGATGGGCTCTGGAAGTCCCTTCCAGCTCTACTTCTCCATGATCCTATTTCACTTGCAAAAGTCATAATAAGGGAGAGAATCTCACTGAAGTTGTACAGAAATGAATAGTTTCCAAAATGAGGAACTGTCAAACTGCTTCTGGATGCTGTTTAAGCAGTAAACATGGTCAGAAAATAACTGGATACAACATAAAGGGTCCTGATTGAAACAAAAGGGAAACGTATGTAAAATACTATGTGCTGATGCATGAAAGAGAGGGGGATACTTGGGCAATGCAGGACCCCCTAAGGAGCAACTCCCATGAGAAGAATGAAAGCCACTGGCTTGAAAACACCTACCTATACCTCAGCACTGGGTAACAAGGCAGAGCCTAGTTATGATCCATCTGCCAACTCCTGGCTCTTTGAGCTAAAAGCTGCTCATATATTGTCCTCAAGTTCAGTAACAGAAAGCTACTTCCATTATGTAAGCTACTGAATTGTGTCTGGACTTTATCAACTGCCTGCCAGTTCAAATCATGCTGGAAGCACTCAGCCATGGATAATCAAGGCAGAAAGACTTCTCCATAATAGGACAGTGGCTGAAGAACCTGCTGAAATAGGAGTTAGACTTGAATTGTAGGCTCCTTGGGGCTGGGGCTACACTTACTCCGAGACTGCGCAGAGCTTAGGACAATGGGGAGCTGGTCCGTGAGAACGCTTGCTACGTGTTACTGCAATACAATGAATAATTCCAGTTAAGGCCTCCCTGCTATACTAAACCAAATCCCTGCCACCCTAATGACTGTTGCAAAAGTCAGTTCTCTTCTGCTGGTGTCCAGGACAACAGCGGAAACAAAATTCACACTCTTGCGGGAGACTCTCCATTAAGCATGATCAATAAAAGATCTTTGCCAGACACTTTTGATTCTAGCCAACAGAGGGCACCTGCCCAGCCACCGGTTCAATTCTGCCCTTCCTCTCCGACATCAGACAGGGCAGCATCTAGAGACTAACTTGGTCACAAGCTGCATCAGGTGCTATGAACAGACTGCAAATGCATCTGACAAAGTAGGCTGCCACCAACAAAGGCTTATGCACGTCTCTAAGGTGGCCCCCGCTCTGTCTCTTCTGGCTGACTGCAGGCTAACACAGCCAGCTACCTCTCTCTGACATCAGGGACTCTCCCCACAGCTGCCAAGAAGCCAGAGTGAGACCGAGAGCTCAGGCCCAGCTTGAGTGCAAATTTGGAAGATGACTCAGCCGCATCTGGGAATGGGAGTGACGGAAAAAGCCCCGGCTGACAGAACACAAAAGTGCAACAGAGCAAGGGACAGAATCCAGTAGCGGAGCCAAAGGAAATAAAGGACCTGGGAAAATGCCGTGCAGGGACAAAATTCCTCCCAGCCAAGGCACGGGAGTGATGCCAGGGATGGATCTGGCTTGGGATCTCCAGAAGGAACAGGGATCTCCCTAGACTTTTATCTTTGCCTCCTCCCCAAGCCCCTGCTCCGCATCTCTTGCATGTTCAAGTGTCTGGCAGCTCCTGAGGAATCAAGGGCAGTAGCCGGGTGAAATGGTTGTTATTCTTAATTTAAAACTTCTCTGCCCCTGAATTTTGGCATGTGGCCTTTTCCCCTCGCTGGGTGTGGAGCCAAAAGACTGCGCAGGACAGAGCCCTGTTTTCAAGTTAACAAGCGCAGCCTGTTCTGGGATTTAGCCACACTTTTTCCCCCTGAAGGCAAAGTCCTCCCTTGTCTGTTGAAAGAATCTCACCTACATGCTGAACTGCCTACGGTGTAACACTGCGGGTTACCAGGCCTGGGTACTTTAATTCCACGAAGGCACAAGGGGCCAGACTTTGATCCTAAACTGAATGAGTCAACCAGCCCACCCGGCCTTTTTTTAAACTCAGTGGATATTTCAGCCCTTCGGCTTCCTGCAGACTTCTTCAAGGCTGCTCCACCAGCGTCACTGATATTCCGATCTTGCCACCTCCCAGCTCTTCTGCTGTCTCCTTCTCGACCCGCTGTCTGATCCCAGATGCTGTTTCAGTGCTGGAATCACCTAAAGGCTGTTCTGTGAATGCCCCTCAATCCCTACCCGCAGCATCCCTTCCCCTCAAATCCAGAACTGAGCCCCAGTGCTGGGACGTCAGGACACGCAGCTTTGCAAATGCGTTTCAGCCGCTCCACACAGCTACAGCTCACCTACACACGACCTTGCCCGTGCTCCTCAGTGCCAACCCACAGCCCCTCTGCCCTTCCATCCTGGGGTTATTCCCCACCTACATCTCTGAGACGCCACTCAGCCCTGGTGCCCCACACACAAATTTGTTCTGAACACGCGGCTCTGCCACTGCCCCGCAGTCCTCCGGCAGCCCCTCTGCGATTCCAGCTTGGGACTGTGCTCCACCCGCAGCTCAACCCAGTCCTCTGATCTCAGCTTGCAAGTCCTGCCCTGCCCTGGGCTCCCCCAGCCAGCTCCGCTGATACCCCAGATCCGGGCTCCCAGCTCCCCTCGGCCCAGGGCTCCCCATGCCAACTCTACTGACACCTGAGATCTTGGCGCTCAGCACCCTGCTTCCCACATCAGCTCTGCAGATTCCCTGGCTCCCACGCCAGCTCTGCCCATGCCCCTGGATCCTGGATCTCCACAAGCAGCTTGACCTGTCCTTCTGGATCCCGGCTCCCAGCTCCCTACCTCCCCTACTCAGGGCTCCCTCCAGATCCCCTGAATCCCGACTCCCAGGCCAGCTCTGCTGATATCCGCAGATCCCAGCTCTCCAGGTGCAGCTCGACCTGGCCCGCCCGATCCCTGGATTCCAGTTCCCAGCGCCCTGCCCCTGGCTCCCCACAGCTCTGGTGATCCCCCAAGCCTAGGGATCCCCACACCAGCTCTGCCAGTGACCCTGGATCTCCGTGCTCAGCCTGCCCTGTCCCTCTGAATCCAGGCTCCCAGCACCTGCTTCCCCAGCCCAGGGGGCTCCAGGAGTAGCTCAGACTGTCCCTCCAAATCCCTGGCTTCCAGCCCCTGATTCTCCTTCCCAGGGCGCTCCATGCCAACATCCCTCGATCCTGGGTCTCCAGGTGCAGTTCGACCTCTCCCTCCAGACCCCAGGACTCCCCACGGCAGCTCTGCCAGCGTGCCCAGACCCCGTCCCTGCAGACCCCTGGCTGCCCGCTACCTCCTGGAGGTCGCGCTCCTGCTCGAGGGGCACGACGTCGTGGGCGCGGTGGTCCTGGGCGCGGCAGAGCGGGCACACGCAGGCGGGGCAG